CTGAAACACCCAGAACACACACGAAGTAGAAGTGACTTAGAAGAGCAATGCTCTCTTAAATTCTAAACGTAGAAGTGTGGTATGGCAGAGGACGGACGGCCACCAGCGATGTCCATTCTCTGCTTTTTTCTTACTAATAGAAGCCTGCATTGTTTGAGTTAGCAGTTAACAAGTTATGTTTTCCTGCCTCCCTTGCAGCTAGGCAGAGCCACATGACCCAGAGATGGCCGAGATAGAGTTAGAACCTGACAGGGGCCTCTGAGAAAGGTCTGCTTTGCTGATAGGAGCCCAGCCTCTTCTTTCTTGCTTCCTGCTTCATCTTCCTGTTAGAAGGCTGAAGCAAACCTCTTTGGAAGACAGTGTGGTGATTTCTGAAAGAACTAGAAATTGACCTTCCATATGACCCAGCAATTCCCCTATTGGGAATATACCTAGAGGAACTCAAATAATTCTACAAAAAAGATACCTGCACATGTATGTTTGTTGCAGCTCTATGCACAATAGCAAAAACACGGAACCAACCATGTTGCCCATCAAAGCTGAACTGGATAAAGAAAATGTGGTAAATATACACAACGGAATATTATGCAGCCATAAAGAAGGACAAAGATAAGGACTTTGCAGCAACTTGGATGGATTTGGAGCCAATCATACTCAGTGATCTAAAAAACAAAGAACAGAGTACCGTATGTTCTCACTCATAAGCGGATCTTGAACAATTATAATACTATAAGAAAGCATTTGGCAGTTGTGGGAAACTGGTGGGGTGGGGGGTGGGATTGGCAGTTGAGGAAAACTGCTAGGGGAGGGAGAGGCATACTGCACCAACAAGGGCACCTGCATAATCAATGTTTGTATACCTCGCCCTGAATTGTACCCCATATCTTTATGGGGATGAAAGCAACACGCACAGTAGGCATGGCTGAGCAAGACTACAGATGGAACCTTGGGCACTGATGGTGCCACGTGGTCCTGACTCCTGCCTCTGACTGCATGTGGCATGGAAGGAAAATGAAACTTTCCTTTGCTAATGCATGTGCTTTGGTGCAATGAGAATGAGTTTGCTTGACGATACAGTCAGAGTCCTCACTTACGAAATGGGGATCATAATACTAATGGATCTGAGGAATTAGAGATAATACATGAAAAGGGCCCAGGACAGAGCCTGGTATGCTATGGATAAATGTCAGGAGTCATAATTTTCACCGCCGGTAAGCTGTCCAAACCCCTGAGGTCATTCTGTACAAATTCTAAGGCTAAATCATAATTTTCACTGCTGGCAAGCTGTCCAAACCCCTGAGGTCATTCCGTACAAGTTCTAAGGCTAAACTCTGAAACAAAGTTCAATTAGATGCTTATTGAGCATGCCTCCAAGCACACCAGTCTACCAGGCAAGCTGAGAGACACAGTCAGACTGCTGCAACCACGGCATCTTGAGGTTTCGGTCTAAACAATGAAATACTGTAATGGCGTTGAGCAATGAGACTCACCGCAATAAACTCAGTTAGCATTAGATTTATAGAAGACAGTGTTTCTATAAACTGTGATATAGAAACCAGCAATGAAACTGCTGCAGGTAGCTCTGTTGACTTCGTAAAGCACTTTCCTATCCATGGCTTCACTGTGTCTTCAACGCAGCCTCTGCAGGCCTGAGACATGGCCCAACCTGCTCGGGCAGCGATATCAAGAAGCCCGTGGCCCTGACTAGACAGCCTTGACTTTGCTGGTCCTGCTCAGAGCCTTGGGGTCACACTCACCTGGGCACATAGCACACCAGTGGGTCTACACTGTGGCTGGAGGAGACTCAGAGATGGCAGAGAGAAGGGGAAGAAGGTACCACAGCCCACTGGGCCCTTTCCATGCATTATCTCATGGCAACCTCCTACTATAGGGCAGCAGTGTCTGGCCCATTTGGTAGATGAGAAAATTAAGGCTTGGGAGGGTTAAACAAGGTCCAGATCACAGGCTTGGACATACTGCTAAATGAAGGCCTGGACCTGAGTGTGTCTGAGTCTGAATCCTTTTGCTGTCTGGGGTGCAGGTTGCAGCAGCATGCTTCTGACGACACCCTGAGTGTGGGATGGTGACCTGACTAAAGGCACGGGAGGTTTGGGCACTGGGGGGGAATGAAGGGGCCACGGGCCCTTCAGCAGCGGTTTTAACTCTATGTTTTTAGTCCTCAGTGTATCTCCAATGTGCACAGTGAATGCCCAGATAATCTTCCAATATTTGTTTTATGTAAATTTAAGAACTATGTTGGAGCCAAGCTCGGTGGCTCAGCCTGTAATCCTCCCAGAGCTTTGGGAGGCTGAGGTGTGTGGATTGCCTGAACCCACAGGTTCGAGACCCGCCTGGGCAACTTGGCGAGACCTCATCTCTACAATACATCAAAAAATTAGCCGGGCGTGGTAGCGCATGCCTGTAGTTTCAGCTACTTGGAAGGCTGAGGCGAAAGGATCGCCGAAGCCCAGCAGGTCGAGGCTGCGGTGGCCAGGAGCAGCCACTGCACTCCATCCAGTCTGGGTGACAGAGTGAGACTCCAACTCAAAAAATAAAATAAAATAAAATAAAATAAAAACTATATTGGAAAGAATGCAGTCTGCATGTATCTCTAGGTATTTGCTCCTAGAATCATCAAGACATAGAAACTGAAAGGGGCCAGGCTTGCAAACCAGCACTCCTGGGTTCAAATCCTTCCTTCTTCACTTATGAACACACTTCTCAGCAAGAAAGGAATAAAGCAAAAGTCACTGGGCATTGATATCTCCTGCTCCAGCCTGCACGAGATCCCTGGAATGGCAGCCCACCTACCCAGCTTCCTTTTACTGAGTAGGTCACAGTCATTTTCATTTATAAACAACAAAAACCACACATGCACTGTCAACTGGATTCATTTCTTGAATAAAACACCTCCCTCAGGCACTTGCCTGAGAGCTTTCCAATGAGTCATTCAAAGAACTTGAAACAGGTGAACACAAACAAGCATCTCCACACTATATTTAGAATGTCATGTCACAGAGAACTTCGCCTCAACTTCAGATGTTATTCTGGAAACATCAAAAGGTGGATTGTTTCTTTTCTCCCTTTGCTCTAAAAGAGGAGCTTTTAAAATTGTTTTGCAAAATGTCACAGTCAGACAAAATAAATAAGGAACAACATTTACTTAATCCCACGGATTTGGCCCAGTGGATCTGATAAGAAGGAGGTTGATGCTGAGATACAAAGCAGATGCTTGAAATTCTAGTTGCATAAGACACATATTCTTTCTCTTGGGATGTCTCCAGAACATTTCGAAGACGATTACAGCAAACTTTGATGAAGACAAATGCAACAGGACAAAAAGCACTCCTCTCCTAGACCTCTCCACGGTGAAGACGTGTCACAGTTCATAAGGACACAGTCCCCACAGGGAAAGTCTCAGGTTTAATCCCCAGATGCTATTTCTCAGACAGACTCACAAATATGACGGGGACAGTCTGCAGAGCTCTAAAGAACATCCCAACTGTAATAAGAAAGAATCTCGTCAATACTCTCAATTAGGAAGACGCTTGCATATGTCTAGCTTCAAAGGGCTCTTGGCAAATCAAACTGGCAGTCTTTTACGTACACAACGCCCCAGCAAGCTTTTCCTCTCCCATGTAGCCTCTCTGTACAGATCCAGCTTGCCTCCTTCTACAAGAACCACCCCCCCAGGCCTCTGTCACTGCTCCCATGTCCCTCTTTCCAGCGACATCACTTAATTGCCTGTTTTTCAAATCAGATAAAACAGAAGCAACATGTCTGAATCTGGGCCAGGATGATAGAATCTTACATTGAAGCTGTGAAGAAAGCACCATGTTCAGCCACAGGGAATTCTTCACTTAAAGGCTGTTCGGTAAAGAAAGAACTAAACTAGGAGACTCCCAGCCATGGAGAATGCCACAAACATGATTCAGAAACTACATACTGACTCAGGCAATGAACACTGCATTTTAGTGGCTGACGTGGATTTTGTTACGTGACAAAGAATCAAAGACTCAACCTGGGTGTGTGTGTGTGTTTGTATGTGTATGAGTGCGTGTATGTATGTGTGTATTATATATGTGTGCATGTGTAAGTGTGTATAGTGTATGTGTGTGCCTGTGTATATGTATATAGGTGTATGGGTGTATGTGGATGCTTGTGTGTTGTGTGTGCATGTGTATGTATGAATGTGTATACATGTGTGTGCATATGCATATGTATGCATATATGTATATGCGTAAGCATACACGTGTGTTCGTGTACACACGTGCACATGCATGTGTGTGCCCATGTGCATGTGTTATGTGGATGTATATGTGTGTGCATGTATGTATGTGTGGATATATGTGTACAAGTGCATGTGAGTATATGCATGTGTATATGTGTATATACGTGCATGAGTGTGTTTATGTGTACGTGTGTATAAGTATATGCATGTGTGTGCTCATGTGTATGTGTATATGTGTGTGCATCTATGTATACATATATGTGCATACATATCTATGTATAAGTGTGTGTGTGTATGTATGTATGTGTTTGGCGCTTTCTTGTAACCAATATGGCCTGTTGAGACTTTACTAGTCTCCTGCTTCGAAACACTTTGTGAGCCTCTTGTGGTTAAACTGGAGTTTAAACTGTACTTGAGCTGACTGCACGGCATCCATTTGAAGACACTTGTGAGAAAACCAGGGCCCATTTTGAGAGACTGCACTTTATACATGCAGGAGAGGGTTCTTTGGCCTGGGGCAAGTTCCCATATAAACACGTCCCACTTGTTTTTTCAGTGGAATTCTCTGATCCACTTGCATTCAATCGCAGACTCAACAGAACCTGTTGCCCAGACATACATCTCGTTTGCATTACTACGTCTTTTTAGTTAGAAACATCGGTGGAGAACAGAATAACTGAAAAGGACAATGACGGAGGTGAGCTGGACTAGAAAGGGAGCTCTCCGCAGTATCAGGCTCCAGCCAGCTCGACAGCACCGGGGCACTCACCGTGGTCATGGGCGAACACCAGCAGATCCAGTCCAATCAGCATCTGAGCCAGCTCTTCATAGCGGCCACAGTGCTCTCCAGCTCCATGAGACACAAAGACGAGGGCCCTGGAGGGACAAGAGGGAGCCTGTTAGGAAGGCAAGGCCCAGACTGCTTGGCTGTCACAAGAGGGGCTGCTTGTTGAAATGGGGATCCACGTCAGGCAGAAGGGAGTCCTGGCTCTCCCTGTTCTCAGGCGAAGCGCCCTTCCCGCGAAGTTTCCTTGCTTCACCTGTAAAACTGCAAGACTAGGATCTCCTTCCAGGATGCTCTGAGGATCACATGATCTAATTAATGCCATGCCTCAGGCGGCATGCAGCAGCCAGACCGTCTACCAGTGTGGGTCCCCCCTAGGGGGTGAATGAGGGGGCATTTAGGAACCTAAACATTTAGGTTCCTACTTTCGAATTGTCAAGACTTGTGTTCTTAGCAGAAGACCCATGGGGAGCCGGGTCCCCTGCAGGCAAGGAGTAATGCTGTGAGTGATACCCACCAATGGCTGCTGCTGATGGTGATGTGGAAAGGGACACAGAGGAGGAGGAGGAAGGGAGGGGGAGGAGGAGGGAGAGGAGGAGGAGGAGGGGAACAGCGGCCACCTTACTGAGCTTTACTATGTGTCAGTTCCTCTATTCACTTCACATAACAAGACTTCTAATCCCCCAATCATTGTATGCTTTATTTTTGTTACAGATGAGAGTGAAATTCATAGAAGTTAAGTAACTTGCCTGGGTCACACAGCAAGCTGGTAAAACATCAATCAGAGTATGTCACCCCTGGCTTTTGGGTCTTAAGAGGCTGCCATAATGTCAGGACAGACATTGCTGTGAAGAGGGCCCCTACCATCCCATCCAGGGCAGCCCCTCCCCGGGCCCGGGTTCCACCCCGGGTTTAATTGACCTGGGCTTGGAAAAGCTCCCCAGTGACTCTGATGTACACCCAAGGTGGAGAAGCATCGGCTGTTATCACAGCGTTAGGCTCAGACAGTTACGCTGGTCTGACACCAGCTGACACCCCTGTTCTGGTTATTTACTTGCTGGCTGGCTTTCTGGCTTCCCTCCACCTTGAGTTCGGCTCTTGGAGGGCAGGACCCCAGAGCTGCACCCAGCCTAGCGGCACTGAGCAGGGGCCAGTGAATATGCACTGAGTAAATAAACACCTCGCTCAAAAGCCTGCTTTCTTCTATGACTCTTCTCTGCCAAGCTGTATAAGGACAGAACAGCACCAGTTTGTTTGATCATGCTACATACTGTATTGTGAATATCACTCAAAGAACCAGCATTAGCCTCATTTTCCAAATCACCTTTGGCATCAGTCCTCTCTGCCCTTTCTCTAAAAACACAAGAGAAATATTTCTCACCCTCTTCATTGCGCTAACCACCTCCACTTGATCAGGCATCAATTTGAGAAAATCACACCTGCCCACTTGACATTTCTGGGGTCAGCTGATGGGATTTCTTTCCTGTGTTTTCCTCAGCTACTGAGCAGCATGGCTGGAACCTCTAACTAGCCATCATCTTCCATCTTCAAAAGAGGCTACGCTTCCAGAAAGGATGGTTCAAGTGCTTTAACATCCTTTGGGAACGCGGCAGCTGCTGGAATAATCCAGCCCACAGTTGATACAGACAGACAAGTGATCGGGCTGGATCATGCAAGTTGTCAACCTCTCTCCACAGCCAGGGGCCACCCAGCAGAGGAGGACTTCAGGAGTTCAGTTAGCAATCAAAGAAATGGCACAAGGCATTTTCATCGTGCCTGGACTTGCCTGTCAACAGAATCCACCCCCAAGTCCACATGTGGAAAAATACTTGTTCTCTTACGCTTCAGAAATTCCTTCTGATCCAGTGTTTCTCAATTTTGGCCACACATTGGAATCCTCTGGGGAGCTTTCAAAAACTCTGAGGCCTGGGTTCCACCCCTGGTTTAATTGACCTGGGCTTGGAAAAGCTCCCCAGTGGCTCTGATGTACACCCAAAGTGGAGAAGAATCTGCTGTAATCACAGCATTAGGCTCAGACAGTTATGCTGCTCAGAGACTACATAGTACTTAACAGTGGCGGGAATGCAGCCACTGTGGAAACTTACCACCATACTGGAGCTGCTAATTTCCCTGGGGGACATGCTGGGTAGATCACGGGTTCTATCCAGAGGTGTGGCAGCCTCGGGAGCTTGCCTTCCTTCTGGAAAGGAGCTGAGCAACATGGCCATCCCACTGCAGGTGGTGGAGGCCGCCACAGCCATTCTCTCCACATAGTACTCACAGGTTTGGTCTCCCAGCTGCCCCCCACCTCCATGCCCGTCTCCAGCCCTGGTCAGCATCCTTAGAGCCACACTCCAACACTTGGATTCATTCTGCTCTTCAGCTTCTGCTGCAGTCAGTGGATTCCTCCTTAGTCCCTGGATTCAGATCCTGTCTGGACCCCAATTCAGATAAATCAGCCTCCCCTTCCTGCCGGCTCGCCACATTTACTTGGTCCCTGGACCTCAGTCTGTTTTGCAAAATGTGTCCCATGAAGTGAAATGGAATCATGTTAAGCCTTCTGCCTTAAACCCTGCAGAGGCTTACCCAGTGCAACAGAATGAAGTTGGTCTGCCTCGGAAGTGCCCCGTCACCCCCCACTTCTCCATCCTGTTCCCGGGTTCCAAAGCCTCCTTTCTGGGGCCCAGATGTGCCCATCAGGGGTGTACTGCTAAATGTTTAACAACTGGGAGTGTTTAACAGCCAGTGTGTATCACTTGCCAGTTCCCAGGGTGTAAATGTTCTAGCCATGACTGGTATCGAGCTGTCAACGTGACATCATGAAAATCGAGTTGAGAGGGATGGGCATGGTTGGCTCTCATGGGATGGTTCCAGCCAGCTCCAGCAACCACTGGCAAGCACATTCCAACTCAGAGCCTCTGGCACCAGCTGAGGCTTCTGCTGGAGACCCTGGCCCCCCACCCAATCTCTGCATACCGGCTTGGTCTGTCATGTGGGTCTCTCACTGAGGGAGGTCTTTTCTGACCACCGGACCTGAAGCAGTCTCTTCAGCACTCATCACTATTTAAAATTACTTCTCCACCGCCATGTTTTCTTTGCCTCCCCCCTCACTAGAATGTGTTCTGTGAGGGCTGAGGTCTTGTCTGTCTTGGTCACTGCTAAATCCCCAGCTAAGAAACAGGTTTCTGCAAAGTGGGAGCTGAGTGAGGGTGGACTGATGGACTGGGTGACCCCCACCAGGTCTGCAGTTCCCAGACTTGGAGCTCCAGCCCAGGGGAGGGAATCTCCTGGAAGCCCGCCTGTGCTGCATTTCTGAGTCAGGCTGCAATCCGGTTTCTCTCTGCTATGCCCCATCCTCTGTCAGCACAGCCCCCTCCCTCCCTACACACCTGCCGTAGGTGGAGCCGCCATCACCCCTCCCCCAAACTTCCTCTCTTCAGTCCTCCTTCCCATCCTGGCCTTTCAGCTTCTCGCCTTGTGGCCGTGAACGTAACTGGCGATGTCCTGAGCTATGTGTGTTCATGTCTGTCCCTTTGGGTAAAGGGACAGCCCCCAGCTCCAGGCTTTCTGAGGAAACTTCTGTATTCACCACTGGGTGTGTGCTGTTCGCTACTCGGAAGCTTCTCTTCTGGGGTTTCCCAAGACATTGTGGTCAAATTTCTGCTCTGAAAAGAAGAGCACCGAGAAACCAAGGTGTAGAGCAGATGCACATCCCGTGGCAGAGGGGTTGTGAACAGAGGGCAAACTGAAGCCAGAATAACCTGGTTTGATGACCGGTGTGACCACATGGGACCCTGGGCAGGTCGCTGGCAGCCCTGAGCCTGCCTCCTCAGCATTAATGTGGAAAGGAAGCCACCTGGGCCCCACGGATTGGCAGTGACCGTGGCTCCTACTGTCCTTCAGCTAGGTCTAGACGTATGATTGAGAGCTCGTACATGCCAAGGCCCGAGGCACAAAGATGAGCAAACACTGTTGTCCCTTACTGTACACAGTCCATAGCTGCTCGGCAGGGAACCTACACATGAGCAAAGAGGGTCGACGGGTGGGAGAGCCCCCCCGATGCAGACTTGAGGGGCTGGCCGGGGAAGGCCCCTCGAGTGTTTAACCTGAGAACCAAAGTCCATGGCAGATGAGAGCGGCCCTGTGCAGGGGCCTGCAGAGACGCACAAGCATGCCTCCTCCAGGCATGGAAGGAAGCTGAGAGCCGAAAGCATAGCGTGGAGGAGGAGGGGCATGAGACATGTGCCCCAGGCCTGGGGCGACGTCAGGAAGCTGGGTGCGTTCCTCCAGCAGAGCGGTGGAACCCAGGGCGGTGACTGGGTCTGACGTTATAACAGCTTTGTGAGGATCGCAGGGCTGCCGTGAACAGAGTGGGGACACAGGGAATGATATCTGTCCCAGAGCAGACACAGCCCTGAGCAGGTGCCAAGGAAAGGGGTTCATTCCCCTCCTTCCTCCTCTCACATTCCACAGCTTCGACAAAGAGCAGCAGCGGAAAATCAGCAGTGCCATTTATGCAGACAAGGCAATACCCACAGCAGCAAAAATTAGGTTGCAGAGGAGGCTGGCGAAGATCTTTTTCCTGGAACTTCTTGAACGGCTGCAGCCAGTTGGGAGCCAGTCGTTCAGGGAGAAGGCAATGACTGTGGGAGGGGGCCCAGCCCAGAAGCAGATGGCCTGCCTGGCATCCCGCCCCGGGAGGTGGGGCAGCTCCCAATGAAGCCTACACAGTCCTCGAGATGAACAAGCCGCAGAGCCTCAAAGAATGTATAAACCAGGGCCTGGTTATCCTCACCACCAAAAAATTCCTTCTCCATTTTTTCCCTAATTCGGTCATTGCTTAAGTGACGTAGCCTCTCCAGGCCTCATTTTGCCCACCTGTAGAGCGGGGATCGTCCCCACCCCACTGACCTCAGGCAGCCACATTGCAAGGTAAGTTCTGGGGCTTGCCCAGCACGGCGAAAGCCCTCTGTGACCGTCCGCCCTGAAGCCCTTTTCTCTGATGGCACAGGCGGGCCACTTGCAGTGGGGAGGCCGGGGTTTAAGTTCCAGCCCTCCCGTGAGCTGGCTCCTAGGTCTCCGCCTGTGACAT